GAGGTACATTTTTATGTAAGTCTAAACTCAAAGAACTTCACTGATGATGTGCAAATGAAGAATCTTGTCTCTGACCTGCTTCTGATTGGACAAACTTAATGTGCTATAACTGTTCTCAGTCTTTTTACATGATAAATACAATGTTCAGGTGTGGATTATTAAACAACTGGTGACATAAACATGCAACTTCCCATCTTGTCTGATCAATAATAACAATTCAGCGGCTGCTTTGTAACAATGAGCCAACAGTAAATTACCCTGTTTGCAGCTCCTTAATGCTACAATAGATAGCTCTGTGAATATTTAAATAAAGAAATGTCTCTTTGCCTTACCTGCATTTGCAAACTGTATTTTTTTACTTTTACAGTTGGCTCCAGAGACAAAGGCTGTGATCCGTTGGGTCATAGACATCCCCTTCGTCCTCTCTGCTAACCTGCATGGAGGCGATGTTGTGGCCAACTATCCATACGATGAAACTCGCAGCGGTAAAACCACAAACACACAACCTATAGGGACACATTTGGATTTTTTTTTAGCTTGACGTTGAATTTTAACCAAAACTGGCTATTTTTGTGCATTTAATGAAACAAATATTTGAGTTGTCACTAAAACGTTTTATTATGTTCCCCTCAGAATGCCATAAATTGAACTCACACCAGATTGAATTGTGTTTCTTTTCAGTAATATTCCTAACAAAACAAAATAAATTTACCAGGCATGTGTGTGATTTATGCAGCTGTGATGTTAGCATGTTATTAAAGCCACTGTCTAAAATGTTTTCTCTCTCACCCTGCCTCATCTCCTCATTAAAGGATCTAACCATGAGTACAGCGCCAGCCCCGATGATGAGATGTTCAAGTCCCTGGCTAAAGCTTACTCCATGTACAACCCTGTCATGTCTGATCCTCATCGACCCACTTGTCGCAAAAACGATGACGACTCCAGTTTCAAGGATGGCATCACTAATGGTGGCGCATGGTACAGCGTGCCGGGAGGTGAGAGGTCCCAGAAACACTCGTGTTTCAAGTGTGATGGTCACATTTAAAACATCGTATTACAGCTCGCAAGTTATCTTGTTAAAGCTCCTGCATGTCCAATATAGTGACATTTAGTGGTTTAAATTGGCTTTTACGACCCACTTAATGCACCTCAACCTTTTCTTTCAAGCATGTAAAGAAACTGAGGTAAGTTGAGAGGCCCATTGTAAAGCACTTTGAGTTATTCATCCTTGGTGCTGAATGTCTTTCTGCTGTACTCTTTAAGAAATTCATTCAGGAAGTGAGCACTCACAATATGTCTGAATATAAATTTATTATGTTTTTTTTTTTTTAAATCAATGAAACATTTAAAACAACACTATGATCATTGACAGTACAGTAGTCCCTTGTTTATCGCGAGGATTTTCATTCTCGGTCCCCCCGCGATACGTGAAAAAACGCGAAGTAGGAATAGTAGTAAAATTAGTAGTTTATTTTAGTATTTATATATATATATATATATATATATATATATATATATATATATATATATGTAAAGGTATTTTAAACCCTTCCTACACTTTTGCAATATTCTCAACAATGTTTCTACACTCTAAATGCTCTAAAAGAGCACAGAATGTCATGATCTCTGCTCTCTGCCACTTGCCCCTGCTATTGGCCACGCCCACTTCTCTGAAGAGCAGAGATCATGACAGGCTGAAGGAGGGAGCTTCTCCCTGCACATGTGGGGTGCAAGCAGGTACAGCAGGTGCTAAATAATTTAAACTAATGTATTTTAAATAAAAAAATCCATGCCGATCTTGCGGCTCATCCATCTATCAGCCAATTGTGTGTCACGTCCAATCTTACTTTGAAAAACAGCGAAAGAGCGAGTCCGCAAAAGTCGAACCACAAAGTATTGAGGGACTACTGTATTTTGTCTCAGATATTAGATGACGTGATTTAGAAAAATGTAATTTTCTGTGTAAACGATATTCATTAAAATGCGTAACAAAGAGCTTAAATGCAGAAAAATAATGTTGAAGCTCGTTAACAGGCTGCAGAAAATAGTCATTGAAAAAAGTTATTATGTATTTATATGTTTTTAGTTAGCTTTTCTTCATCACCTGCTGCAGAAAGGTAGGTAATAACGGGTGTGTCTGTTTGCCTGTCATGTTAGTAAAATATGTTATCAACCACTGGACTGATTTAAATGAAACTCACACTATAATCACTGGATGTCCATCTACTCAAACTCAAAGATTAACTTTTGAAGTCAACCCAATTAAAATTTTCTGTCACAGTCAGTCGACCGTAACAAACACAAAAATAACTATAATTCAGTCAAGTTTAGATATTTAAACTTTGACTTAGTAATAGCTGAGCATCGTCCTGTGTGTGCTAATAAATTGTCAAGAGATTCTACATATTAATTTCAAAGTTTGACTAAAATGTCAATCTCAAGACAAGATTGTCTTAGTTTAAAACACTGGGATGGTTTATATGTATTTATACCTAATTATTTTGCAGTTATTTTTTAAAAATATCATTTATAGTAGTTGGCTGCAGACAAAGCAACCAAGTGACAATACAAATAATTAAAAAAATGGTAAAACAAAGTTAAAATTATTTGCACATGTATTGAGTTGAAGCGGTTGCGATCAGACCCTGTAGGTAAATGTATAATCTTTGTGTGTTTTACTCTCGTCCACTTATCTGCTAAATGTAGCATTTTGCAAATATCAAATCATTAAAACGTTATTTTATACTTTTAATTAACCAATATCAGGTTTAGTAGTCTGTCATCCCTACCTTTAACACATTGCCTGTTGGTTTTCATCTTTTACAGGTATGCAGGATTTCAACTATCTCAGCAGCAACTGTTTTGAGATCACTTTGGAGCTCAGCTGTGACAAGTTTCCCAATGAGGACACGCTTAAAACCTACTGGGAGCAGAACCGCAACTCCCTCGTCAGCTACATCGAGCAGGTTGGCAGCATTCTACTCTCATAAACACCATCATCCGTCTCAAGAAATGAAAAGAAACGTTAAAGGAAAAACTATCAAAAGTGATTCCACGTGGTCTTGTTGCTCAAAGACACAGTGACTGTCTCTGCCAGACTAATCTCTACAATTTGTACCAACATAGCTCGTGAATCATATAAGCCGTCATGTTAGAAAGAAAGAAACCATGATGGACCTTTGTGAAATCACAAGATTCAGTACTTCCATAACTGTAAGCTCTCCACAGTGAATACTGTAGATACTATACTATACTATATTCATTGCAGATATCCTTCTTGTAGTTTTGTCCTTCTCAAAACAGCATCATGTCACCTCTGAGTCATCATACTTTTTTCTTTTTTTATTTTGCGTGTTTGATGTAGGTTCACCGTGGCGTCAAGGGCTTCGTTCGTGATCTTCAGGGAAACCCCATTTCCAACGTCACCATCTCTGTGGAGGGCATTGAGCATGACATCACCACAGGTATTTGCTTTCTGTTGAAAAATCGGACAATCTGATGTCAAACAACTAACTGAAACATGAAACACATGAAACTTCCCATTGAAACATCTAATAGGAAAATGTTGCAATGTTGCCACCTTGAGGACACATTTGGTACTACGTTTATTTTAAAAGAATGGATCTGCTGATGACGGCACAGCATGGAGGCACAGTGGGCAGAGCTGCTGCCTCTCAGCAAGCAGGTCCTTGGCTCAAACCCCGGTCCAGGGGCTTTCTGGGTGGAGTTTGCATGTTCTCTCCGTGCATGCGTGGGTTTTCTCCGGGTACTCCGGTTTCCTCCCACAGACCAAAAACATGCATGTTAGGCTAATTGGTAACTCTAAATTGTCCCTAGGTGTGAGTGAGAGAGTGAATGGTTGTTTGTCTCGTTTGTCTCTATGTGTCCCTGTGATGGACTTGCGACCCATCCAGGATGTACCCCGCCCCTCGCACAGTGATTGCTGGACATTGGGCACCAGCGACCCCCGTGACCCAAAATGGAACAAGCGGGTAAAAGATAATGGATGGATGGATGGATCTGCTGATGACGGCACAGCATGGTGGCACAGTTGGCAGAGAGAGTTGCGACACTCTTTGAACTCGCCGATACGCGGTCACGTGGTTCATGCAGCTCTCAATAGTTCCAAACAGCTCATCCTTGTCAGTCAGTTTGAGCGGCTGCTGCCACAACATAACACAAAAATCGAATTTTCTTACTTTACCTGGTGTCTTTCTGTAATTATTGAGCAGTAACGAACTGATTACCGATTATTTCACTGACTATGAATTTTATCAAAGCATTTGTAGACGCAGCAGACACATTTATCATTCAATTTTAGAGTGAAACGAGACTTCAAACACATATTTGTTAGGAAAAAATGTCTATGTAATACAATGATCAATATAGCTATGTCAACAGTGTTTTATAATAACGTTAAACATGTAAAAAAATAAAATAAAACAGAGTAACACCTGTTATAAAGCTATTTCTGATGTTCTCTACATGCAGCATGAGAATGCTCCACCTTGTCCTCCATGCCTGCAGTTCAGATCTGCTCCAGTTTACCTTAGATCTGGGATGAATTCATTTCTGTACAAGATATTCATTCAACCTTTATTTAAACAGGTTCGTCCCATTGAGCCACGAGGACTTGTTTACAAGAGAGACCTGAATATAATAGTTCTATTTGTCTTTTTTTTTTTTAAATGACAACCAAGTACCTGGTGCTTGTAGCCAGACAACTATTATAAAATTGTAATTAATTGATTAAAATGTTAAATTAAACTGCTTCTAGTTAAAATCATAACAGATGACAAAATAAGTGTTAATTGTGCAAAAATAAATTACCAAACAATTTATTATAAAATATGTAAAATGTAAAACAAGCTTTAATAAAGTACTTTTACTACTATTTATACTTTTTATTAATCATCTCAAGTCAGCAGGAGCAACCTGATCTTCATCATCATCATCACAACAACACAAAGTGAGAGCTGTAAATTTAATCTGCACAAACATTTTCAATCAGGGCTCAAAATGTTTAACTGTCAAAGAAATGTGCAAGAAAATAAACTGATGTCACTCTACAGGCACATTTAGAGAGAGGACAGTTCACAGAGACACAGTGAGGACGAGTGAGACTGAAGGAGGTTCAACCATTTGTTCATGGACCAGAACCAGATGAGAAGAACCGCAGAACTTCCACTGACCAGTGACCTGACCAGTGATCTGACCAGTGACCTGACCAGTGATCTGACCAGTGACCTGACCAATGATCTGACCAGTGATCACACATGTTGTTCTAAATTAAACTTTGGTACGAACAGTGTTAAATAAAACATGTCATATTTTTTATTGAACAATAATCTTCATTCTAACAGTGACGTTGTAATTTCAGAGACTGAGGAAGAAACAGAAATGAGGTGAGTGAGATGAGGGAAAGATGAAAATGTGTCCTCAGAGGACGGGGACATGTCAGGATCTTATGATCCAGGATCAACAGGACCAGGAGGATGGATCAACAGGCAGTCAGGGAACAGAGATGAACAACCTGAGGAACAATTAGAACAAAAAAATACATAAGCAGGATAGAAGAAACTCACAGACAAGAAAATTAACTCAGTCCTGCAAAGAAAAATGTTAATGGAAAATAAATTCTGACATATTTTTACAAAAGATCAGATGAAGACAACTGGCATGAAGAATAACTTCCAGCTCCATCTCAATGTACCTGTGATAGTTTAATAAGTGTTTTGTTACTGTTCTACAGTTTATTGATGCTGATTTATTCTTGGTAATAATTCTTATTTCTTGTTCTGTCTTGAAAGAGTCTCATCTCAACTTGACCCATGATTAACATACATTAAACTAATAATATAAGTAATTTAACAGTCCTGCAGTAAATACCAACTTTGTGAAGGTTATGGTGTTAAAGTAATTTTATTCAAACATCTTGATTCAGCTGTTACTGATTAATAGAAGACAGAAAATGAGATCTTGTACCTTTGTGATACTTTGAATGCAACATTCAGTTCACTCAAGTCATTCTCCTGTGGTTTACCTGGAAAACATGAAAAAAAATGACTCATCTCCACAATCACATTTTTCTTTAATGATAATGTCACAATTTATGCTGCAGTCTTTGACAAATGATCTATAACTTTAACTAAATTAACCACGTCAATCTCTCAGAAAAAAAAAGCTAAATATTTTCTAGTTGAGAGTTCAGTAACTAGAATTACTATAAATTTTTTTTTTTAAATTATCAACTTTCAAAATTTAAGCTGTAATAGATATTTTAAAATGCTGAATTATACAGAAATAGACCTGTTTAAACCCGTCATGATCATAGCAGAGCAGCTGCAGTCAAAACACAACTAGCAAGTTAACATGTTTAATTAAGTAAAACTGGCGACATGAAGTATTAATGTTGATAAACTGTGGTACAGAACAGTCAGCTAATGCTTCACAATGGCAAAAAAAAAAGTGTTGTATTTTCATCAACTTACTGGAGAAAACACGGAGAATGAACTACGTTCAATGCTGGACCCGCTGCTGTTTGGAACTATTTACCGCTGCATGACACACGTGACTTCTGCATTCCGTTCTTTCTATGGGAGTGTCACAACTCTCTTTATAGGGCTCTGGCAGTTGGTAGAGCTGTCACCTCTTGTCAAGAAGGTTGCTGGATCTAATCCCTGCCGAGGACCTTTCTGGGTGGAGTTTGCATGTTCTCTCCGTGCATGTGTGGGTTTTCTCCGTGTACTCTGGTTTCCTCCCACAGACCAAAAACATGCATGTTAGGCTGATTGGTAACTCTGAATTGTCTCTAGGTGTGAGTGAGAGAGTGAATGGTTGTTTGTCTCGTTTGTCTCTATGTGTCCCTGTGATGGACTGGAGACCTGTCCAGGGTGTCCTCTGCCTCTCACAAAGTGACTGCTGGACATGGGCACCAGCGACCCCTGCAATTCAGAAAGGAAGAAGTGGATAAAGATGATGGATGGATGTTTCTGGTATACATGCTCACGTGTATACCGGAACAAGTTAAAACAGTGATGGCTTTGAATGAGACTTTTTTCCGTAGCTTAGCATCAACTTGTCCCTTTGTGTGTGTTGCATATGTATATATTAAAAAAAAAAAAAAAATTTATTTTACAGCCAAAGATGGAGACTATTGGCGCCTTCTGGCTCCAGGGAATTACAAAGTGGCAGCCACTGCTCCAGGATACTTGACCGTCATTAAGAAGGTGGCTGTTCCCTACAGCCCTGCAACAAGGGTAAGACACACAGACAACAAGCAAACAAACAAAACAACAACAAAAAAATCACATTTGCACTCCTTTTGTTACCATACAAGTTGCATGTGATGTATTTGTTTCCTCACCTCCTTTTTCTGCTCTTTAGTCCCACTTAAAGTCAGAGAAGGAGAGTAAAGACACAAAGAAGGAGGAGTCGAGATAACATTTGGTTATTAAAGTGTGACATCTGAGCTGCAGAACCTTCAGTTTAGACAAACGAGCAAATAAAACCGTGACACAACTGCATCATGACACACTTATCTGGATGCAGCCTGCTGTATTTCCATGTTTCTGTCACATATGTGTCAAATGTGTTTGTGATGTGGGAAAATTAATTAAAAAAAAAAAAATTAATTGTTCTTTCATTAAGAGAGAGCAAATGCCATAAATACTTCTGATGGTAACAGACTTGTGTAGTCACATTTATAACTTGTTCATCAAGCCTCCTCTCACTTTCTGTATAGTTCTACATTTGTGCTGCAATCTGCTAGTGAACATCTAATGTAACTATGAACCTAAAGAAGTTTAGAATTTAAAAAATGTATTTTTACAAACAGTTATGATTTCTTATGATTGTTTGTGTAAAGAGTCGTTTTGCAAAGCTTCCCAAGTTGTAGAATCTGAAAAGCTCTGCATGGATGCTGTTTAAACATTTTTTTATTTTTGAAACTACAGTAGTCCCTCAGTTATCGCGGGGGTTACGTTCCCCCCCATCCCACGATGAGTGAAAAACTGCAAAATAGGAACGCTATTCATTTTAGTATTTCTATATATTTTAAGGCTTTATAAACCCTTTCCACACTCTTGCAATGTTCTAAACTCTTAGACCTATATCATTTAACAACATTACGTATAAGTACTGTACAGTACTGGAAAATGTTACTCACCAGCTCTGCAGATCAGCAGCTCGGTTCCGGTTCTGCAGACCTACTAGATTTCTACTGCGATTTTTGTCCCGAGCCCCCAGCCCAACCCAACCCAAAATTCGGACCGGATCAGGTGAAAATTATGTGCTTGATGGGTGGGCTGGGTCGGGCTCAGGCTTTTGATGTGGTTTTAATTGCGCATGTGGTCCCGTCGACCCTTTGCTCTTATTACACATCTGAGGATTTGCAATTGACCCACAACAAGCGATATAATGGAGCTGGAAGTATCAAAAGCTAAAAGCGGGAGAACTCACTCTACAAAGCCAGCACAGTGAAACCTGCTGGTGTGTCAGGTGCACGCTCAAGTCTGACCGGCCGGTTGAAAGAGGTAAAAATAAAGTTGTATTAAGCTTCAGATGGACAACTGGATCATCAGCCGCGTACATCCCGCTCCGCACCCTGCTGTCATCTGCAGTGAAGGAAGTGACAACATCTGAAGCTACAAAAGTTGAAGCGAGCAGCGCGTTCAATTAAAATAGCCTTATTCTATATTTTCCCAAATAATTTTGCTCTAAAATATATTTGTTCTTCTGTATAATAGCCTATCTTTACAGTTGATTTTTTTAGGCTATTTGTTTTGTATGTTAATGTCCATTTGGTGACTTATTAATAAAAATAAATCTTATATCTTCCTTTTGTTACATTTTTAAAACCATCATGTCAAACTGATTTGCTTACAAAAGCAGTAAAAGCTTAATTTTAAAAAAAGTCATTTTTTTAGGTTCAGGCCTGTAATTATAGTTAGTTGGGTTGGGTCAGGCTCGGAAAAATGCCTACAGGCTAGGGCTGGGCCGGGTCGGATTTTTTTAGGCCTAAATGCAACGCTAAGACCTTCCCTGCAGCAACAAAACCCACTGCGGTTGATGTGCGTGGGTAATTGAGCTTCAGAATTATTTGCAACTTTCCTGTCAGTTCTGTGAGCTTAATAGATAGATTGTTACTTCTGAATTTGTGTTGCAAAACTTTCCCTCCATTTCGGCAGAAAGCAGCGGCCAGAAGCACAGTTGGCTTTTGGGTAGTGCACCGTATTTTTTGGCCTATAAGTTGTTTCTTTTTTCTTTTTTTTTGGGCATATTTTTCATGCACTGCAACTTATACGCCAAAGCGACTTATTTATAGATTTTTCCCCATATTTATAAACCAATTTTTGGCTGAGATATGACCGCTTTCATTCATTCTGACTGAAAATATTGAACACTACCATTTTCAGCTGCTAGATGTCACTCGAGTAGTGTGGTATGCCATTGTGTCATGTAATAAGTAAAAGTGGCCATTAATAACAATCGGCTTGCCATAGCCTGCCACCTTTGTCCAGCTCGCCTGGAGCAACAGTCAAATCAGCTTCATTTCGCTGCCCCGATGAAATGCAGCTAATTTGACCAATGAAGTGCATTTATTAAGTAAAAGTTCAATGGAGACACACCTTTACTATAATGCCAAGCAAACAAATAATTGTTTTAGGTGGTTATCTTGTTAAATTTCAAAGAAATGCACAGTGAGTCCTCCCATGCATGTCCCCGTGACCGCCATTTGGCAGCCAATTGTTTTTTGGCACAACACCGGTCCACATTTCCGAGTTGTCAACAATGACGCTTAACAAACGTGACGCTTCAGTGGTGACGCATAATAGATGCGTCTTACACGGCAAAGTGACATATTTATGGATTTTTCCACTTTATTAGACATATTTGGACTGATGTGACTTATAGGGCAGAGCGACGTGTACGGCAGAAAATACTGTAGTTCTTTTGACTGGCTTTACAGTATAGGCTTATTGAAAGAAAACTACAAAATGGCAGCGCCTTTCCAAAGTATTTTTTCATTAACTTTTTATCTCGTACCGTCCCAATCATGTGAGTAATATTAAAGTTGACAATCGTTGAAAACCCGCGAAAGCGCAAGTCCACAAAAGTTGAACCACGAAGTAGCGAAGAACTATTGTCTTGTTCTTTGAAAAACTGTATGGCGCCTGGCACCATTCTTGCCAGAGTCTTAAACATAGATCTCCCATGCTCATTTAGTGCTCAGAAGAGGATGGCTCTCAGCTACTACTATGTCAAACGTCAAATTAGTACCCCAAAAACTGTCACAATGGGCTGGTGCTGGTGAACCCAATGGTGCAGGCAGGCAGGCAGGCAGGCAAGGACTCAGGATGAATATATAAAATAAATTCATTATCAAAACAAAAAAGCTAATGGGGCAACAAAACAAACATAGAATGATCAGGAGGTACTCACAAAACAGACATGTCATCACAAGTGGACAGAAGACAATGCCAGGGTGAGGGGTAAGGGAAACACACAGGCTTAAATACAGGAAACACCAATTAGACAAAGTGAAGGCACCTGTGAGTAATCACAGATGCCAAAGAAAGAGACAGGATGCAAGACATAAACATGACACAAGATGGAGCTAGACACTAAAGATACACAAACCCTATAAAGATAGAAATAGAGGATCAGGGGAACACAGACATAAACACGACACCAGATAGGGCTAGACAGCAGGGACAAAACCACAACTTCTAAAAAAACTGACAGAGTAATAGATTTTTGTGTTTGTTAAGGTTGATTAGCTGTGGCGGCCTTAATGAACCAGAATGACTCCAAAAGATAATCAGCTGTGGATGTACATCCAGTGATTATTTTCCAAGTTTCATTAAAATTGGTCCTCTGATTCATGAAATGTTTTGCTAACAGACAAACACACGCATATTGAATATATGATCATCCACCTTTCATAGCAGGATGCCATAATAAGGCAGATTTGATTAATCTTTGCTACTTTTTATTCCAGGTGGACTTTGAGCTGGAGTCTCTGATGGAGAGGAAGGAGGAGGAGCGGGAGGAGCTGATGGACTGGTGGAAAATGATGTCAGAGACTCTGAACTTCTGAAGCGCTGTTGATAATTGTAGCGTCTACACACTGATGTAATATATTCATTCTGTGTGTTCGTTCACTAGAAAGAGAATCTGCTGACTTTTTGGTCTCATTTCCACCGCTAATTGATTTGATGACATTGTTTGCCTCATAACTCCTGTAGATTGAATATCCTGCACATTTTGGAAGACAAAGGAGGATTTAGTTTGGTGGCAATGAGACTGGTGTTTGTTTCTGTGATATTTATTGTATTTTTTTTGTGACTGGTAACCATGGCGCTCATCTATATAACCAATGAAAGGCTGAGTATTCATGTAGAAAAGCTCTGTCTGTACAAATTCTTCTTTTTCTCTTGTTTTAAATGTCTCCGTTTCTCCAGGCCTTAGTACAAAAACACAACAGTACAAACTTTTTCACTTCTTATCAACTGTAAACACACATTCTGATACGTATTCATCATGTCTCTGTTTCGTGATATAACAAAACATATGACACAACAGTTCTGGAACAACCAGAGACATTAAAAACACTAAACTTTTTATCTGAACAGACTAATTCCCCTGTGTGTTATCGATGTTGAGTATTTTTTTATTTTTAAATCCGCAGTTTTGATTTTAGCACAGATTAATTGCCATAATATGTATTGTATTTATGAAGTAGGTATAGCGAAATATATGTTTTTGTTACCAAAATTATGTAAAAAATAATATACCATGACCATTTATTTAAATCACTTCATGTCAGAGAAATCAACGCCCGTCCTTAGTATGTGCACTACATCAGAAATACTGTCAGAGCACAGCAGGAGTTGATTTTCAAAAATATATTATTGTAACACTAATATTTAGAATGCAACTTTATCTGACCATATGAATCCAGTTCACTGAGCACAACAAAAAGAAATATTGAATGTATAAACTATAAAAGTTGGTGTTAAAAATAAAGAATTATCTAATCAATAAAATTCCCCGTTACGTTGTCAAACTGTATTGTTGCCTTTGTTTTGGCTCATAATAGCCAAGTCAGGTTAATGAAGGGTTTCTATGGTCTGCCTTGAGGGTTTACCAACTTTAGCACACTGTTTTGAAACTGCTCAGTAATTCACATTCACAGGCTTCTGGTGAATTTGATAAACTGCTGAAGAAATAGATATAATGACGTTGGAGCAAAAATACAACTAACGCACAAAACGATGAGCTCCAAAAACCATGGATGGGACAACGTTGGTTACGTACTGTAACCCCAGATTCTATGAGTATAGGCGTAGCCCTTTAAGAGCTGTCGCTTAGTGGGTTTATCCCATCATGCAAAGCATCGCACTGAAAAATTTAGTCCACGCCCACCTGTTGTGCGGGCCCCAACCGGTCTGTACAAATTACGTTAAGAGCGGGTAATCAGCTCCCAAATAGCTTTTTCTTCAGCCATTTAGGAGCCAGTGAGGCCCGACGCTTAAAGGGCTACACCTATACTCATAGAATCTGGGGTTACAGTATGTAACCAACGTTCTATTTCGTATAGGCGTCGCCCTTTTAAGAGCTGTCGCTTAGTGGGTTAAGGGCAAAGCAGATGTGGTCCTCGCCTCACTGGGTCCATTCGAACACCGTACGAAGCAGCAGCTTGCCCAAAAAACGTCTTGTCACTCAGCTCTCCATGTGCGTAATTACGCGTTGTGTAATTATGTGTACCATGCACAGACGCGTGCTGTGTAGCTATGCGTTCTGAGTGCATGGACGCCCCGGAAAACTTTCAACGGGGAAAGGAAGATGCTGAAAAAAGGGCCATGAACCAACAGATTCACGGCTGATCAATATGAACAGATTAATAATAACAAGTGAACTGATTATCAATCAAATGCACTGATTGGTAACAATAGTCATGAACTGATTAGTGACAATAGAACCAAATTAACAGTCACAACTTGTGACTGATAACAACATCTCACACTGTAATGCATGCAGTCAGATGTGAGTTTAAATGGGGTTCCATGAAACAACAATATTAATTCTGTTAAAACACTAAGTACAGAATGTGTCATGGAACGAGCTGTCACATCACGTAGATAAAAGCGAATAAATGAACAGGGTGTTAACCACGCGGCCGCAGTGCAATTATTCTGCATTGTCATACCATTATGCAACGCAGTCGAAGATGCGATACCCCTGGTCGAGTGTGCTCTGAGGTTGACAGGAGACTCTAAATCTGATGCGCTGTAGGCTTCAGAAATGGCCTCACACAGCCAGTGTGACAGGTGCTGGGTGGGTAATGGGCGACCTGCAGATGCATCTCTATAATGCACAAACAAATGTTGAGTTTGACGCATTGCGGCTGTGCACGCTATGTAACACGTCAACGCCAGCACAGGACAGAGAAGATGGAAAGATGCTTCTCCTTCTGATTTGTGTGGGGGGAGGGAAAAACCCCTCCAACGATATCACTCTTGATTTAAAAGAGCTTGTGATGTTTTTAGGCATAAAGGCTGTATTCAGTCTTAGATCAGCTGAGCGGCCGTCAGCCTGAATTCTAAGACATGACGAAGCGACAGAGAGGGCAGATAAATCACTCACCTTCTTAGCGGATGTTAAAGCCAGCAGCAGGGCTGTTTTAAGAGACAATAATTTAATTGGAACCTGATTCAGTGGCTCCGATAACAGGCGTCGTAGAACCGGGAACCATGGCGCGTTCACGTGCTCGGGAGCCACCAGGAGAGCTGTCAATCCCTCCTCCTGAACTCGGTTCAGAAACCGTAATATCAGAGGAGGTGGGGGGG